ATATATTTGTTTTATGCTCAAATTATATATAAATATGTGTGTCCTCAAATCACTTGGAGTTATGGTACTACAGCAGAAAGAAATAACGTTATGGATTGTTGTGGCTCATAGTGTTTTAGTGTGTTAATGTTGTCTTTTTGTATTCTGATTTTGTGAACCGTGGCTGCAGAACAGATTTCCTCTACTAGGACAATAAGGATGAACAAGAAATACAACCTTGACTGTAATAATTGTCTGTTATTTGTCATTGTACCATAGTCTTTTCAATCACATAGGTATAAATATTCTTTTTTCTTTTCTTACGGCAATTATTACGTTTGCTCAATGTATCATGGTCTCTACACGCCTCTTTATGTTTTCACAATCACAGTCACTTTGACCTGTGTAATTTACAGACTGTCTGTTTCAGAGTTTGAGTTTAGTATCAAACCCACATTTTTGTCCCACAGTACTGCTGGGAAGGCCTGGCATCTGGCAATCTTTCTCACAACTTACTCTGAAGTCTTCTCTTCTTTAGTTTCCATGACTTTGAAAATGTTGTATTGATATTACACAACAACAAAAAATACTAAACATGATCTGTTCAAACTCAACCATCTTCAGCAACGTTATGTAGCTATATGATACACTACACATTGGCAGAGTTGCATCAGCTAGAGGCCTCATTACTTTGTCAAAACACATTTATTAATGAGCCCCATTGAGATACAGTTAAAAGAGGTATTATTAACTGTCTCATATTGTAATTAATCCCAGGACAATTAGTAATTCCTTGTTGTTTGCTGATGAAGGATGTTGTTTAATAACATCCAAGGGAGGCTGTAACATGTGAAGCTGCATGCGACATACAAACTGTGAACATTTGATTCCTTAAATGTAATCTCTACTTTAAGCGTGTTAGTATGGAAAAAATATTCGAGCGGATTAAAGTTCACAGTTGAGGTTAAAGTATCACAGCATAATCTTTGATTTGTTTTCTCACTATTAAACTGAAATGTTTGATGAACAAATCCAGTTTGAATGGATTTGACAAATGGCTCAATACATAAAAAATGCATCACATGTTATACAACCTTTTCTTATTTGTTTATACGTCCCAGAAGAAATATACTCATTGAAACAGCACACTGAAGTGGTCACATCAGGCCTTTGGGATCAAGGACCTTGTTTGTGCACAAAAACAAGCTGTTTGGACATTAGGACACAATGAAAAGGACTAATCGTCTCACCCAAGAGAAATGGACATGATGGACCCTTGAGTTGCAGTGATAATTGATTTGAACCTCTAATTATGTTTGTGGTCTTTCTCCTGTAAAACAATTGAATTTGGATAATAATCAGGCTTTTGATTCGGTTCAGTGATTAGTTTTGTCGCCTTACAGCAGACTGCACGGTGTAAATCTGCTATGTCTGGCCTGTCTTTGTAGAGTTTGCACATTCTCTTTTGTGGGTTTCATTCTGACCCAAACACATTCAGGCTAGGCAAACTTTAACCCTAACTTGTTCCGTGGATTTGCTTTTACATATTAATCCATACACATATTGATCCACAGACATTTTTCTCTGCTGCCATTACTGAATCCTCTGTTTGTAACAGAGTTAGAAGGAATTAGAATTAGACAAATTAGAAAGATTTCAATCAGTTGCTCAATTAATATGTCAACTGTGATGTACACAGATTTAGATTCAATTGTATTGTCATTGCACGGCGTATAGATAGAGAAAGACTTTTCAACCCTGTTTTGCTGACATGTAATTGCAAAGCATTTTTTTTTAATTTGAGTCATCAATTAATATAAATAATTTAAAATACTTGTTGAGTTTGACTGATGACAGGTATTGGAAAAAAAAACAGGAAGAGAGGTTGACTTTTATCAAAAAATGGATGTGATGCCCCTGTGATGAACTCTGACCTCTGGCTCTTTTGGAAACTTCACTTGGCCAAGACTTTTGCCCAATTGCCCGACACCCTCCCACTCTGTGGCGGAGTGAACTCTGTTTGTAGTCACACCCGCAGCTAAATGAAGCACATAGTGCCGATTTTTTGAAGTGGGGGGTTGTATGAGGTACTCATCCCTAGTCCGTGTGTCGATGACTATCGTACGCCCCTGTGTCGGAGAAGCAGTCAGGAGTTACCTCACGTGAGCAGAGCAAGCTGTGAACGGGTATGTCAGCAAAATATATTTGAGCCAACTCAAAGAAAGGCCCCACTAAAAATGACTGCCGGCTTTGACAAGAGCAAAGATAACGGCATCAGTTCCCCGTCCCAAACATAGACTGTTTAGCTGTTTCATGGCAGGGTAAACCAGTGCAAATATTCTAAATATGGCGTACTCTTAAACTAGGATACACTTCTTTTAAGTCGGCCTTTGTTTTTAGTGGCTCAAAAACGTTTTGCTGATGTCCCCGTCCACAGCAGTACATTGCTTTGCTGCTGTGCCGGTGCTCATGTCTGCTTCTCCACACTGTAGGTAATACACTGACTGGAGAAGTACCTCATACAACCCCACTTTAAAAGACCCGAAGTATCTCTTTAAGGTGTAGGGTATAAATACAGCGGCAAGCACGGGACGAACGTCCCTCTCATCAGCAGAAACAGGAACTGATTTAACTTTTCAAAACCATGGTTTCTGACAGCATATTTCGGAAGCATCAAAGAAGCCTATGGAGAAAAATAAAAACTCCCAAGCTTCTTTAGTGGCATTTCTTTTTGTAAACATCTTCTGGTTTTAACTCTGATGTTTATGAGCTGCTTGGTTTTTGCAACAGTCCCTGTAAATACACAACAATTTACAATCAAGACAAGGGTATATTTGATTCTAAATACAAGAAGTTGTTAACATCTGTATGACAATATTAGATGTCTATCTTAGTTTGAGCAGGTTACGAGGTGCTGGCGCTCTCGTGGTGAGGACAGTGGTTTGACGTCACATGTTGATTACGCTGGACATAAAAGAGATCAAGATCTGGCAGCTGAGTTGGGATTTCCACCTCCACAGGCAGGAGCTTTGTAGGTTTCGTTGAGCATTAATGTGCAGGATAAAGCTCAGCATTATTGTGGTGTAACATTTAATGTCACTTCAATGTACAGAAAGTGAGAAATGTATGTTTAATTTTGTGTTCATAATGTAAATGTTCCTATCAGAACACATTTGTGCTCATTATTTCTGCAGGAGGAGACTGAATCTATTTGTCAAAGAAGTAACTATTTCCTTTAAACTCAAAGTATTTGATGTATCTTGTATTCTTATTCCTTGTTGTAACTACTTCACTTATTATTCATATTTTACTTATTTTTTTCACTTTGTCTTTTTGAGATAAAGAATGAAATGTGCAATTAATTAATAACAGAATGATGCCTAATATATGCCACTCAAAATGTTTGCTGATTCATTTGTTGTTGCACCCATCACTACGAAAGCTTCTGACATGTTTTTTCTCTTTTCGGTCTTTCATCAGTTTAAACGGAATGGAAAGCAACATGACAAGTGATATCCTCAAGATCCAAGGCTTCGACATATCCCCAAAGTTCATCTACCCTCTGTTTTTCTTACTGCTGTTTGTCTACTTTACCCTGCTTTGCTCCAACATCGGAGTCCTAGTGCTCATCATCACTGAGAAGAGTTTGCACCAGCCCATGTACATTCTCTTTTGTAACCTTTCCATCAATGATCTCATAGGGAACACAGTGCTACTGCCTCGGCTGATGGCTCACATCATTTCAACAGAAAGGTTAATCACCTACAACCAGTGTGTGGTTCAAGCCTTTCACAGCCACACGTTCGGATCCGCCTCACATATGATTCTCATCATTATGGCAATCGACAGATACCTGGCGATATGTCACCCCTTGAGGTACAGCTCCATTATGACTACCAAAGCTGTGGCTGTGCTGTCAGCAACTGCATGGGCGGTGTCATTACTGCTGGTGTCTGTTTTGATCGGTCTCACGGTGAGGCTGTCCCGTTGTAGGTCGGTTATACAAAATGCTTATTGTGACAATGCGTCGCTGTTCAAGCTGTCCTGCGAGGACGTGTCCATCAACAACATCTATGGACTCTTTTTCACTGTTTTGCTGTTCGGTTGCTCAATGGGAGGCATAGCTGTGACCTATTTCAGAATAGCTGTCATCTGCTGGATCAAGAAAAACAAAGAGTTGAATAACAGGGCACTTCAAACCTGTGCCAGCCACCTTGTTCTTTATCTTATTATGCTCTGGTCAGGGTTCTTAACAATCATACTGCATCGGTTTCCAAATTACCCAGATTTAAGGAAAATTGCCTACATCTTATTTCATGTGGTCCCTGCTAATTTAAATCCAGTCATTTATGGAATGCAATCAAGATCATTACGTGATAAAATCATCCAAATACTGCTAAGAAAAGTGACTCCGACCTGATACCTTCTCTTTTCTCTTCATACTTTGTTACTTTGAACATAAAGACACATAACACAGGTTACACCTGTTTCAATTGAAACCATTTTTATTTCAGTTGCAAATCTTTCTGCATACTCTTGTCTGTCAAATTCAGATTTTATTATGTCATTGTCTTCTGTTACCAAATGCCATGTGGTTTATGGATAAATCTGTACTATTTGCAAGTTGAATTTTAAAGCTCAACATATCAAAGTGTCATCATAATGTGTAAAGACAACATAATGAGGGTCTACTGGCCCCCGTGTGCTAGAGCCCAGTAACGAGCTCTCTACCAACCTCTTGTGTCGTCTATATGCTAGAATAGCATGAATATCACTATTATCACAATTTATGTTGGCCTTACAAACGGTTCCTATAATAAGGAGTGTTATGATAAGTTTAGTGTATAGTCATGTATTTGTTTTCACCGAGTCACAGGGATAATGTTCATGTTTCATGTAGCGTAGACATTTCAAACTGACTGTGACTAAAGTCAACTCATATAAGAAAGAAAATACAGTGTCACTACAGTACAACACAATATTTGTTGTCCATATAATATTGTGCTTACGGTAGTTTTAGCCTACCCAACACACATTACACTAAAACTTGCATACATACTCAAAATTTCCGAAGAAATGGTTTGGTTTTTGAGGTGTTGTTTGAGGTAACTTTTTAAACTTGATTTTACTTTTCTCATTGAATGACAAAATCCTAAAGTGACGTACTGAATAAAACCTGAAATCCTTTCCTTTCATGTAAAGAGGCTGTAGGATGATCTCTTGATGAAAGGTCAACCAGACCTCTCAACAGTTCTTGAGGTCTGACTAAGTTGTCCTTGCATCTCCAAACCGACACTGACTCAAATCAGTTAAGCTTTTTACTTTCCTTTGGGTTTAGATTAATGAGTCATGAGCCTGTTCTTTAAAAGACTCGGGATAATACGCATGAAGAGAAGATTTGTATCGCTTATTGACTCTTCTGTAATGTTGAATCATTCTCTCTCTTTCACTGATTCATGTCATGAGAGTAAAATTACATTTTCCCCAATGAGGGATTAATAAAGTACTTTTTCCCTTCGTAAAGTCGATCACTAATATACGTACATTACATTTGCAAATTGCAACAATTATTACCTCAAGCTAATGTGTGATTTGAAATGGTCTCAGAACTGTTGTGTGTTACTTCTCAGATACAATATCCATAACAGATTAAAAAATAAATAATTATCTTTGAGATGTGTGAAGCAGCAATGGATAGCATATTTATGTGTCACTGCTTTTGGTTGCATCTTTGAATCGATTGACTTATTGTTTCTGACACAAGGAAATACATGTACAGAAACTAATCCATATTCTATCTATTTCAAATTTTAAAAAAGCACACAATTGTGGAAAAGTGTGTTGATTTACTAACTGACTTGCTATTTCTTTGCTGAACTTTCGTACAGTATTGGGGCGAAAGTTGGGGAATGCAAGTTATCAACAAAAAAACCAATGAACAAAACTTGTATTAAACATCTAATTCTAATAATTAGGACTGCAGTCAGGTGGGTGTTGGCAGCCTCCAGAATAGACCATTACTAAGACCATAGGAAAAAGTGCAATCTGAATGTTAATTCAATCTCAATTAATTAATTTGATTAGTTAATTAGATCGCTTTGCCCATAATGAGAAGGCTCAGGAAAAACACCATGATGAAAAATATCCACATAAAGAAGCGGTCTAAAACTTTAGCTACTTTCTTCCACTCCCCAGTCCTTTTCTGCGTTGCCCTCTGATCTCTGTAACAGTTGGCTATGTACTCAATGTTACGCAGTAGCTGCCTCTCGGTGCTTTGGCTGTTGCAGGAAACCTCTCTGTCTCTTCTTTCTCCATCACTCACACCTCCCTTCCTGCATCTCATCTGACCCCCTGCTTCTCCACAGTCCATGCTCATGAAAATGCCATTCTTCCAAGTGCTGTAGTTGTTGGTGGGGTTCTTCCCAATGGAGCCTATCGGACTCACCATCTGATCCATGTCTTCCCTCTCCTCGGCGCTCAAGGAGCCCACTGTCTCTTGTCCTCTCTCCATTTTGAAGACGCAGTCCTCTCTGCCTGGTCCTGCCTGACCATTCATGCTGCAGTTGGTGTTCTTCACAGGTGGAGGCTCCTGTTTCTCCGGCTGCAGCGACAAGCAGTTCTCCCCGACTTCATAGACAAAACACATTCTGGCCATGTACTGCAGAATGACTTTTTATAATTAATTAATAATTAAATAAATGAAAACTTACTTGGTAAAATACTGACACACAGAAGCAAGCGACATAAAGTTTGGGCTCTCCATCGTTTCATCTTGCAGAAACAAATTATGTCGATCCCAAGATCCCAAGAAGCATCTGGGCTGCTGTTTACCTAAAGACTTTAATTCACTGAAGATCGACCACGACGACTGACACCACCAGAGAAGAGACAGGAGAGGAGAGGCGGGGCAGCACCACGTGTTGACCACATACAATACACACGGACCACGCATCAAGTTACACTTAGTATGTCTTTGATCAAATATAATTATGAAAATATATATAATACAAAAATAGAAATGGATCATTTGGTTGCTCTCGTGCAGCACCGCGGAGAGCTCCCATTCCCAATAGCAACAAAGCAATATTTGTTTTAAATGAGTTACTTATTAATTATAACAGACCGGCTTTTATACATCATTTAACGTTGTGCTCTGTGATCTGTGCGTTATTTTTTGATAGGCTACGCCGACCAAACGTAGCATCCTCAGCACTCTCCTCCGCTCGCTTTCTCTTCCGGGTGCTGGTGGTTTTCATGCACTGACTGTGTTGTCCTCCTGCTATCTGCCGCACAGGGAGGAGGATGCTGCATCCGCGGGCCTATTATCGTCTTTTGGCAGCAATCAAGTGAAATTTAGTGGATGCAAAAAGTGTCACAGGAATGTAAGATTAGCTGCATGATCCCCAGCTCCCTTTGAGGCACTGCATGCTATTGGTGGTGTCCGGAATATTCAGGTCCATCCTCCAGCAGCGATATCATGTATGTTATTGTAATAGCGTTATTGACAAGCCAAGTGCGTGCAGTGTGTGGTGGCAGTTATTGGTAAACAGCAAACCTAGTGGAGGTACGTTGATTCCGTTTTTTCAGAGTTTAGATGTTTAGTTAATGCATGCATGTGTATCAAAATGTCCCCAAACAACTGAGTGAAAATTGCATATCACACATTTTTACTAATCTCCATAAATACCTCATATGTAGCCTATTGTATTGTATCGAAAGTTAATCATGTCACATGCATTACATCTGCCTGGCCTTTGCGAGATGCTTTTAAATGAGGCATTTTCCACTGTTTCAGACCAAGATGCTACAAGGCTCCAGTATCTTGGGGCACGAGAGGCCCCTGGTCATCAGGGTATCATTCAGCGCCTGTGTTGTGTGTACTGTGTGCCTACCACTGCTTGGACTAATAACCTGCGTCTTCATATCCTCTGTTTTTCATTACGAGGACTCTACTGGTACACATTGCCGGGTAATTTCCTTATTTTGCAAACTGTACCAGCCATGGTTTTCTGAAGATGCTCATGTTGTACTAAATCGTCACTGTGTGTTTCCAGGTCCCTAATTACCTGCCATCCATCAGTGCCTCAATAAGCCTGAGCCCTGAGTGCCACATATGGCGGTTCTGTATCGGACTGCACTCGGCTCCGAGGCTCCTGGTGGCGTTTACCTACTTCAAATTTTACAAGACGCGCTTTGCCTCGAGGTTCCCGGAGAGTTTACTCAGTCGCTTCAGCCTGGCCTTTTCTGTTTGTGAAAACCTCGGCCTCTTGCTGCTCACATATGTGTCGTCAAGTGAAACATACTGTGAGTAATCCATTGTTTTTATTGGAGAGGTTTTATTCAAACCTCTGCTTTCCCTTTGATTTACAAAAGGAAAAGCAGTTTAATATATATTTTAAACTGATCTATTCAGCAAAATGAATAACCCACCTGGCATTTATTGAATTAGTAATAAATAAATGCATCTTTATTTTCAGTTGTTTGAAGTACGATATAGCCTTGAGCCACTGATGCATTGACTAAATGTATTTTATTTGGAAATTCATTATGACAATGACTAAATGTCTCCCTCTTTTTGTATATTTCTGCTCCTTAGTTGTACATAAGGAAGGCTTTGTGCTCTTCCTTGTCAGTTCCCTTATCTACATGCTGATAACCTGCCGTTTATGGAAGACTATTAAGAAGCATTCCTTAAGTCCTGAGGTAAGGAATGCCAAATCACTCACAACAGACTGAACTCTCTCGTGCCATTTGCAGCATTACCGTCCATTTGTGCTTTTCTGTTTTTATTTTCGTCTCCCTTACAGGATGCCAAGTCTCACTGTTGGAAAGTGCGCTTCTTACTTCTCAACATATCCTTCTGTGCTTTCGCCGGATTCTTTTATTGGAAACACAACATGTACTGCGAATCGGGGAGTAAGTAGGCTATTAAATCAGTTTGATCATTTTGATCTAATCTGTAAGAGGAGATAACAGTGCTTGAACGAAAATGACACAAATATGTCCATCATGTACAGCTCTGTTTCTTCTTTTCACAGGTTACACTTTATTTGCCCTCTTTGAGTATCTGGTGGTTTTCTCCAATATGGCCTTCCATCTCACAGCAGTGTGGGACTTTAAGAGCCGTGAGGTCATGGTCATTTCGACCTCTGAAGATAAAGACTTCTGACTAGAAACTCAAGGACTACGTGCTGAATACACCACACAATCACCTGATGTTAACAGCCTGGATACGGCACAAGGGGAAGAGTGGGATGAAGGCCTTTTCCACATATTTCCATGATGACGGCTCTTAAGTCCTTAAAGGGTGTAGATGTCAGACTAGCATATGTGCTTGTCTGTGAGCTGGAAGTGCTTTTTTTTTTTGCCTCAGTGTCTCATTCACGGATACCTTCACCTACACACAGTACAACATTTTATGTAATGTGAAGTTTTAACTTTTGTACAATGCACAACAACAAGATGTGGTCTTACTGTATGTGTGCCAAAGTAAAGTGACAGTCCTTCAACAACTGCATGCTTGGTCTACATTTTGAAACACAGTCAGCAGTTGAAATCATGCAGCACTTCTCTAATGTGAATTATCTGTACTACATGTGACCATACTGCCCTGTAGTTAATCTGCAGCAGGTATTATGATCACACATCACTTACCTAACTTTGAGCCGAAAGTTCATGGTGCTGTATAAAAACCCAGTGGCCCAGTGGCCATGTCCAAAGGCAAATCACCGTAATGTTTCTTTTAGAGTTCTAACAGCAACTACTGCACCTTAGTGAATGTATTTGACACATTATTTTCCTTTATGTTATTTTATGCACCACTTAGCAAGTTGTCCATCCATTTTAAATGATGGTGTTTAGATATGAGTGTATACTATACCCCATAACAATAATTCAATACCCCTGAAGCTTCTTGTCCTTCAAAGGACCTGTCCTCCCCCAAAGCCGACCCTGATGATGCAAGTACTGGTCAAACACTAGCAAGAAGTTTCATTTCTGCCGCAAGACCTTGAATCATATCAATTTACAACAAACTCAGAAAACTCAGTTTTTTTCCGTGTGGTTGTTTCGTTTGCTAGTGTAAATTAAAATCAGTTAATTAATTAAAAACGTTCTCCAACATACAGAGACTACAAATAAATATCAAGTTAGACATTCACATGTCAAGGATTGGTCATCATAGTTTCATTATTAAAAAGAATGGTTTCCTGACATCGATATTTATCACAATATTTTAAATGTATGCTAAATCAATCCCATTTGTTCCAATTTTAAAGCATAACATTGGAACAAAGTACATTGCCTTAAAATATATTTATTATATTACATAAGAAAATTCAGATTCAATAACTAATGTGTTAGCTTTTCATCACAATTGATTTACTTATAATTGACAGCAGAATTATTCATAATATCTACAGGACATTGCGTCCCAGTGTAGTGGCTTAAACAATCCGCTAGATGGCAGACTTCAGCAATTTGTTTAAATTAGTTCAACGTGATATCAGTACACATTCCCGGCGGTAGGGGGCGAGCGTTCCCGGTAATAACCAGAGGGACGCTGATGTGTAGAGCAAGATACGCGTCAACCACATTCTGCGGCGTTTTTCGGTCTAGTCTCGGTCGGGGGAGAGACCGAGACCTTTCTTACGGGACGTGGAGTCCGCCGAGCATTCAACTCCGAGTGACCAGTTATCTGCTGCGATGTTAACGCAGAGCTGAAGCTACAGATCTGCTGGCTCTGATACATGACAGGTAACTTTGTGTTCACGTTATCACGTAGCCTAGCTTAACGTTACAGTTGTTCTTTATTAACGTGCGTTGTCTGACGTGCGGGTGTCTCGTTGTTATACATCCGACCCAGGCCAGTAGCGGCTCGCGCAGTCCGAACCAGGACGCGAACTGTGTTAAACGCCAACGTTCGTCTGTAGAAAATACCGACACCGACCTAAACTGAGAAAAAAGCCACGGAAGCGCGAGCGCTCTGTAGCGTAACTTCCCCTTCGTTGGATGTTACGCTTCATTTCCTAGTTAGCCGAGATGTTGAGCTAGCTAGCGTCAGACGTCCACACCTTCCAGACTCACACGGACCAGGCTGCTGTTCTGTAGTCGTAGTTATTCTTCTCCGTGAAGGGATATATATTCGCAAACATGCCGCCAAGAACCCCCAAAACGCCGCTAAACGGACACTAATAGGGGGGTTTGACTTATCGAAAGCCTGGTGATCAGCAAGCTAACGACCGTTGACACTCATTCATTCAGGAAGAAGAGGTACACTCGTGAATCTGTATGTAACTAACTGTATTTCTTTGCTCTAAAGCCGATTAATGCAGTCTCCTCTCCACGTTAACGTGGCATGTGTTCTAGGAGACAAAGTAGCTCCATTGTTTTTCAATTCTGAGCGTTGTTTGATCGATCAGCCGAGACAGAAACACTGAAATTAGGGACTCCGCTGTTGTCCTCTTCTCTCCAGCACACACCAGTCATGGACTTCAACAATTGTGTGGCCGTGTGGATATTTTACTTGTGTCTCGCTGGAGAATGTTGGACCGAAAAACCGAGTTCACCCTCACCGGACAGTCAGACTGTAGAGAATGGAGTGTCAGGTGAGTGAACAGTGACTGCATTAGTGAATTGTAGCATTTTAATCGTTCATATGTATCCACATGTTAAACCGAGATTACACACGATTTAGAGTACCAGTTCGTGCCACATCTTTTGTGATTGTGCAGACCCGATGTGGCCATGCTGAGAATAGTCCAGCTGGCGTTCTCCATTAAGTCCTCCAGCTCAGATCAATCCACATAGTCACACAGGAGGTGATCGATCGACTGGTTAGTGGAGCACATGATTCAATAGTGAGGTCATACTAATCAACATGTTAAATCACTTCCATTAAACTGTAAATTAGAGCCAGCTCATTAACATTTGGCTGTACAGTATTTACAACATACATTGCCATTCTTTATTACACTCTAATTGGTTTAAATTGGCATAAAACCGTTGGCCTGGCACAAGTCTAAGCAATCATTAAGTTATTCATTGCGCAGTACTTCATACTCTGTATTGATATTATGTAGACACTGGTATCTTGGATTTGCCCTTCTTATCATGTGTGTCACCAGAATACTTAACGACCGAACCTAGTGTGTCGTGTTAAAGGCGATGTGGGCCTCTTGCAGCACACTCCTGCAGTGACTTACTGAAATTACATTATTTAGTGCAGATTTCTTTCCTTTTCAGTGAATTTTACAAGCTCCTGTTGTAAAAAACAAGAAAGAAGTCTTCTATCACTGTGATGATCTCTTATCATGAATGATAACAATGGTTGCATCTGCCGAGCATATCTTGATGTAATCTATGAAAACATAGCCTACGTAGGGTAAGACATGCTATGACTCGGGTTTTTTGAAGTGGGCTAGTGTACAAATTCATACCTATTTACAAAAGCCATAATCGTTGCGCAGACATTTTGTAGTATTGTGGGAAAATGTCCACATTGCTCATTTCTTTCAAGCCAGATGAGAACGAGGGCCAGGTCGTGTGCAGGTGGTAGGCTTTCACTCGGTAACTGTCGCTCTTTGTTTAACACCGCGAGTGTGAAGGAGTAAGAGGAATCGCCTTTTCGGTATGTGGCCTTGCTGGTTCCCTGAGGCTGAATGCCTGCATGCTTTGGCTCAAAAATTCAATTTTCACTACACGGAAGTTCACGTTGTGTATCAATCCTTCCTAGTTCATGTAGAGGAACATAAGGCTCAATATGCCAACTAGAAAAACGTTGTTGTACACATTCATGGACACGGTGACCATTGCAGAGATTAACCTGGGACATAGTTTACTTTCTGTTTTGTCTCTCAAACCGCTGAGCCAACCTGTCATAACATATGGTTCTGCGAATAAATACAACATGGATTAGTATGATAAGTCTCAATGCCGATCCAGATGCCTGCAGTTGGTTATACACTATCGTGTGGGTGATGTTCTTGTTGGTAAAAACCAAGCTTAGGAAGTGCAACTTCCTCATGTTGGTGAGCAAGGCCAGCCTCCCACTTAACCGTTTCCGTCACCTTCAGTCATTGTGGTTACAATTCCTTGAAATACTCCAGAAAGCATACTGTGTTTAACATGGTTATGCTTCTTCTATAACTTAAAAGGCCTCCCTGAGAGGGGAAATCACACATTAACTGGAGTGTTGCATAAGTTGGACTTAAACTGAAGTGAATCAAATCTACACTTGTGAAGGTTTCAGGGGTAGTATGCATGCAACCATGCTGCATTAAATTAATAATCCACATTTAAGTGTACTGTTGTTACATGTAGGACAACTGCTGAGTATCTGCAGTACATGACAAACAAGGTTTCATTTTAGTGGGAGTGGCGACATTATCTTTAATCAGAGGATCTGTAATCTGTCAGGAAGGAGAGGGAACACAGAGAGCAGACGGGATGGAGACGTACATGTCTGATGTATCTACGATTGATTAAGGAGCCCTACACACAGAAGTCCTGACGGAGGCCCTGCTGTCAAAATGTTCAATACATTTGATTGTAAACAACATTTTTACTAACAAACCCAAGTTTTCTTGTTAAACAGAACTGTGGAATACAAATTGAAGATAGATAAAATTATAAAACTGAAAGCCTATTATTTATTGAAAGCCAATTTGCCTTGGGGCATCGCTGGCCTTTTGGTCTGACAGTCATGGTATCTGGCTTCTTGGTAACATCCCCACATTGAGTGAAAGGCTTTAATAAAGAAGGCTGTGTGTGTGTGTGTGTGTGTGTGTGTGTGTGTGTGTGTGTGTGT